CCTTCCCCCTCTGTTTTCTTTCAACCAAATTTTAAAGCTTGAATAGGACTCCCACGATCTCTAACCACCCCTACCACCAACTACACCCAACCCCCCTCCCCCCTACTACATAATAATATACTTCGCATCAATCTGGCCCTTCCATATTATAAACTCACCTCACACCGCTGTCTGCGCATGTCTTCACCATGTTCAGGAACTCACTCTCGTTCCCGCTTCGCGAGGCGATTTTGTAGCTGATTGGCTGATACCTCTCATACCAAGGTCGGTTGGGGGAAGTTATAATTCGGTTTTCGCTTGGAGGCGACGTCTGGAACGAAAGTCATTTGTGAGGCAGCGTGGTGAAATCAGGCTCTCGTCAAAATAATCAAAGTGAAGAAACTTACATTTTTCCGCAGGTTCGTGGATTTTTATCAAATTTGTTTATGGGCTTCACACCTTTCATGCCTATTAAAGAACTCAATACTGAGTGGATTTTTCTGAAAAACGTTGATTAAAGACACAAAAGATGTACATTTTCAATTACCACGAACTCTTAAGCCAAGGATATAACTAATCTTGGGCGACCATTTTCTCACTAATTTTATCTCTGAAAACAGGTGACCCCCACCTTCATTCTCAAATATCCTGACCTGTATTTAAGATAAACGGATATTCTTTTCATCCAAATAAAGACAATTGAACATGCATTAAGATGATACCAATACCTCTATGTGCCCAAAAATTGACGAGAGTCTGATTCCACCACGCTGCCTCACACATTTCTGTCTGCTCAGGGCACGTTTTGAGAAATGCGACGTCAAAAATGTAAAGTTTCATAAAATTTCCATCTTTTTCGAATACAATTCTTTGAATATCTTGAACACGACTCTGAAAAATCTACAATCTTTAAAGAGAAAAATAGAGAATTTATTTGATTTCTGATCTCATGATCTTAGAAACTCAAAGTAGTCAAAAATGTCAGCTAGAACTTAGGTAGCTAATCGTTTCTTAGTTTAGAGTCTTACAGCGGTCTAGGCGCTTAAATTGCGTTTGTCTACCAAAGACCGTTTCTGCGTGAATGTCAAGGAACTAAAAAAACAAAAAAAAACAGACTCGTTTGGGGTGAGAGACCCCTATCGTGCTTCAAAAGGAGTGCGAGTTTGCCCGGATTGGTACGAGGTGACAACGTAATATTTCCATTGTTTACAGACGGCATACCGTAAAAAAAAACAAAAAAGTGTTTTAGAATAGAAGTTTTGTGGGGAGGGGCGGGTGGGGGGGGGGATAATTATATTTAATCAGCTCTGTTTCTATAAACAGACATAGACTCCTCATAGCACAGAGATGCTACAAAAGGTCAGAACACAATAATGATACGATCGCCGTAATGAAAGAACCAATTTGTCAGTCAACGACACTTATTGGCCTTTCGATGCAATTTGGGTTATTGAATCTTATTTGGAGTGTAGTGAGAGAAATTATTATGCTGGACGTGTATCCTGAAAGGAAAAAAAAGACAAAAATCTTCAAAAGAAGATAAAAGGAAGGTAAGCGTGTGACATGTTACTGTTAAGCTCGGAGAATGGCGTTTTGTGGTGACTTAGTCATCATAAAACTCCACAGCCATTTAATGTATTTCTGGTGTGGTCAAGAGCTCCGCCCCAGTGGGAAAAGTAGCTTTGTGACGATAGCAATATTTTGGCGTCTTTAACGTTCTAGTGTAGTTTTAATAAGAGTTTTGTGGCACTTGTAACACAATATGGTTATATAAAATGTACCGAAGACTAGAGGTATTACAAGAGAGTAACATACACAAGAAAGAAGGAGGAGAGAGGACGACTAATTTTAGCGTCATATACATATGTGTTTGTAGCGTATAACGCAGTTCAATTGGTGGGACTGACATACCTGTACAGCACAAAAACCGTAGGGTCCCAGGAATCGCTTGCACTCTGCAGCAATGTCGTTCCATTTCCACTCAAAGAGATGTACCACGCCGTCCCTGCCCCCGGTACAGTGTGGGTCTTTATACGCAAGTGAACCTAGGGGTGGAAGTGGTTATCACTATTGTGAAGTGTGAGGCATCGTTCATTCTACTACAAGTTAAACTAAGCCAGACGGAGTACACGTCAATGTTGCAATGTGATTAATCCAAATATCTAAATAATCGTTTTCTTAGATATTGTAGTGATTAGGAATTACCCCTTCACTTATTAGAAAAGGCATGCGACCGATCTATTTAAAAACAGAATGGGGGCTGTCGAGGCCTAGAGGTTAAGGTGTTGGCCTCTCATTCAAGGGTCCCGGTTCGAATCCGGGTAGTGACCGAAAAAATTGTCTCATTTCCTGCTCTCTACCATTGTTCTGTTGTCTGCTTCCGTCTCCTCTTTCTGCCCCCTCCCTCACTCCCTTTGCTCCCTCCTATGGGCTCTTGTTTCTACTGCTACTCCTTTGCTCCTTACTGCTGACTTTCAGCCACGCCCCAGATCTTCTGGTAGAAAAGATCTATACATAGCTTTCTCGGACAAAGGCGAAAAATCTCGGAGGGCTCGTGTGCCATTTCCGTTCGTTAAAGATTTCTTGGAGGTCTAAAATCGATAAGAGAAGGCTTCAGTCGCCACCCGGACACAATTCAAAATCTTTCCTAACCTCTGAAAAAGTTTAATGTGTCCCGCACATTGACCTTATGCAGTTGCGAGCCCCGTAAAACACTTACAAACAGAATGAAAGTTAAAAGACAGATTCACCAAAACAGTGGTTGACTCTCACCAAACAGTTGCACTAGCACCATGGACAGTGTCCAGATCAACATCATGTCTTCTGGAAGGTTCCGCCTCAGACGTTAGAAAACATGTACTTCAAGTCCCGAATGTCGCCCGGGCTCTGACCGCCAGGTGGTGACTGGTCCATTTATACTCTTTCTGCGTCCCTGGAATTTTTTTTTCTTTCATTATAAAAAAAAAATCTGATTGAAACAAGGTCAGATCAAAAGACAGAACTTACACAAATATTTATTATACATATGTGTTCTGATCAGGGAGCAAGCAACTAAATAAACGTTGTGTAAAGATGAACCGAATCGAAACACATTGAAGATGTATGTTATAGTCCGTCCCATAATTCGAGAACAGGTTTGAAGCTTAATACCTCAGCAACTGCTTGTTCGATTTTAACCATATTTTTAGTGATAGTTATGTGCCCCTACAACATTGTGACATTTTCTAATTAGGTAGCTAATTAAAGACTGGATAATTAATTACTCTTCATCATCAGTACATCACATTTAGTGCTTACAGTATCTATAATCCAAACACGAAAAGATGTGTGCATTCAGGGGCGTACAGAAAATAGAACAAAATGTGGCAAGAAGATAGTAGTCTCGGCATTGGCCTACCTTAATTCTGTCTGCGAGTCAGACGAGTCTTCACATGGATTGATGACTACTCTTGATTGGATGAACTGAAGTCCTTCCTGCTCCCAATACTCGTCCTCCGTACGTTTTACATGCGTTTCAAGCCGCCGCGCTTTTCCCTTTCGTCAACCCGCAGCCACTTCCCGAATCGTCAGCCACATACCAACCTTTGACACAGGTCAAACTTCCATCTATTTATAGGTTACCGGAACATGTATAGGTGAAGTGATGTGCCGTGATAGTCGCGATATATTATTTATTGAGAATGCTTTGGTCTCTCTTTACTCATCACCGCGAGAATTTCTTGAAGTTTTTCCCTGGACTCTGCCTTTACTAAAATCTCGAATCTAGATCTAGATCTAGAGTTGTAATCTAGTGGCAGGTTGCAGATTTCTGTTATCCAGTACATTCAAGAGATTAAATAAATTGGACTAGACTCTAGTAGTAGACTCTTCTACTCCCACTTCTAAACCTTCGAGATTACAAAGACCAAGCCTAGGCTTGTAAGGATTCGTTTTGTTAAAAGTGTTGTTTAACACAAAGTCTAAGAAGTTAGCAAACCTAACACATTTTTTCTAACGAAATGAAGCTTAAATTGACTTTTATATTGTCAATAAGAGATCAAGTTTAATCACCTAATCATTTAAGTAAGGAAGTGGCTATCCTCACCCGCGGTGAGAATAAAAACCCTACGATTGACCTCTCACCCCGGGTGAGACTTGCCAGCGTTAGCTTTTCTCACCCAGTGTGGAACAAGACCTGTTTTTCCTAATTTCGAAATACTTTCTATCGGTGTGGATGATCAAATTGACAAAAGCAAAGAAAAAATGACGTTATAGCACAAAAGTAAGCTAATTTGATCGTCTACAAAGATGCTATGGCTCTTTCACTTTTCGAATCAAGCCGAACTACGCGGGTCGCCATTTTGTTTTGCCCGGAAATTCTCGCAAGATCTATTCCTCCCCCTTTTCTCTCTCTCTCTCTCTCTCTCTCTCTCTCTCTCTCTCTCTCTCTCTCTCTCTCTCTCTCTCTCTCTCTCTCTCTCTGTCGGCAATTTATTGAATCTGCAACCTGCAACTAGATTACAACTAGATCTAGATTCGAGACTTTAGTAAAGGCAGAGTCCAGGGAAAAATAATCAATTAAATTCGTATGGTGCAGATGAGTAAAGAGAGACCAAAACAATCTCTCTATTGCGACTATCATTGCACATCACTTCGCCTAATACATATTCTGGTAGATTTAACTACATATAAATAGATGGAAGTTTGACCCGTGTCAAAGGTTAGGAGGTGGCTGACGATTCGGGAGGTGGCTGCGGGTTGACGAAAGGGAAAAGCGCCACGCCGCCGCCAAATTAACTTCGTCCTCTCGAGATATCGCCTTTTCTGTTAGCTGTTTGACATCTTTCAATTTAAAAGTTGTATTTATTTGAGATGCAACCCGTGCGTTTGATCTTCGCCCTGACGAGTTCAGTTGGATTTATATGGAGTGGTAGAGTGGCAACAGTAGACACATGTGTCCGTGCTGTTCCACAATTTTATCAACTTGAAATCTTTTGGCTTTTCTGCTTTCTTTAACCAGCAAAAGGAGCTCAGGTTTAGGCTGAAACGGTGCAAATGGAATGCTCTGTTTGTTGAGCCAATCTTTTGTCTCCTCCTTCCTGCTTGCACTTGTTGGAATTTTGTCCTCTTCTTCCACTTCTTTGTGATATGACACATTATCCACCACTAAACATGATGGTCTGTCCAGTGCAGGTAAATTTTCTTCAATAATCCAATTTCGAAATATGTTGCCATTTATATCCTTATATGATAATCCCTGTTGTCAATGGAATTTAACTTAAAATTAGTTCTGCGTTTTCAAGTAAACCCTTTTCACTGCTTCCACAGTGTGCAATTATCAACCTCTCTCCTTTTTTAGCTGGAACTTGTCTTTTAATGTGTCCGTCCTTTGACTGCCATTCTTTTTTAAACACATGGTGAGCGTTTATAAAAGATTCGCCTAAGAAGACAACCTCATACCCTTTCTCACGGACGTCTTTCAACTCTCTCAAGTATTTACTTCTTAAAGCAACAATATGATTTCTTTCGCAAAGTTAAGTTTCCCCACCTTTTCATTTCCTGAACTTAAACCCAACACGCCTCATTGTTTTCCAAAGGCATGTCTTCGATATGTTTATATCATGATTATCGGACAACTATCTTTTCAACCTTTTGGGAGTAACAAATTCATTTCTTTCAAACATTAGGACAATTGCTCGTCAGACAACCACCCTATCGAAACTATCAGTCTTCAAAGGCCGCCCTCTTTTAGCTAGGAAAGTCTTTTCGCCCATTTCGTGCTGCTTTATCCATCTTAACAAAGTGCTTCTGTTCAAACCTAAGGAAGGTCGATTTCTTTCTTTCGGATTCCCTATATCATGGTACAAAGTTCCTCTCTTTGCCTCTCTATTAAAATGGGAGTAGAGCTGAAGCGCAATCTTTTGAAGAGTGGTGAGAGTGTGTTTGAGTGTCTTCTAGTCCCTCATGGTGCAAACAAATCGTTGACACAAAGCGAATTCAAGCACAAAACTTACAATTATTGAACATCCAGTTATTAAAGTTAGTTTGTGAAATGATTCAAAATTCCAAAGCTAGACTACGCCCCTGACTTCTTTAAGCTGCTGTGCTGAAAGAAAGACAGTCATTAAAAAAAACCCCCACCTGATTAATTTAGAGTCTCGTTTCATATGGGCTTATGTATTTGAGAGTAAACAATCCCGCAATTTGAGCAGTGAGCAGCCGAGGTTAACGGTGAGTTTTCACTCCGCTCCTCATGCCCACGTGCATGACGTCCAGTCGGCGGATTACTCAGACCTAAGGACTGTGCAGCTTGAGTTGATTAAACTATCGAAAGCTGTCGAATGTAAACAACTGGCTTGAACTAATTTTCCCACGGTTTAATCGGACGAAAGAGTGTGTCCATGGTCTTTACGACTTATGTGAATATTCTTTTAATTTTGGGATTGGTGTACTGTAAATAGCCAAAATGTTCAACGTTGGATTCTATGAAGTTTTCAAACATTAAAGAACAAACTATAAGAGAATGATCTTAACTGCTACTCCAAGACTGTATAAATTATAATGTGTGTCAAGACATGGTGGAAACTAGTGTTCTTCAAATTTTTTGGGGGGTATGAATATAGAGTTTGTGGTATTATCTTAAAGCATCTTCATTTGTTTTTCCTTTGATGAAAAACGACGTATTTTTCCTAAATAAAAGTATTAAGCGATATTAGCAAGGAAGTGTGTGTAGCTGATGTCAGGTGAAAAATTAGGGAGAAAATGTTGGTGAATTCCAAAGCTTGGGTGCCCTTAGAAACTACAAATTAAAATTTTTGTGTCTTTGATCCGTACATTTCACACAGGGATGTCTTTAAAATATGGGCATAAAAGTGATAAGTCAAAAACAAAAACAATTCAATATCAACTGCCCTAGACGCCAAAAGATAATAAATAAACAAATAAATAAATAAATAAAATAATCGTTAACTTCCATTTCTTCATATTGATGCGCACCTGATTTTAGCACAACTTTAAGCGCTTGATTTCTGAGCTTTGTAGCCAAGTATATTAACACTTTCCCCATTACCCAATCCTTATTAAAATGGCGTCTTCTAATTAGTGTAATGTGTGCATGGTATGTTGGCTATAGTCAAGATATTTTTTGTTGGTAAGTGTTTTACAGCGCTCACAATTGCATATGGTCATAATATGACTTAATGTTATTAAGTGCGCTGGACACATTAAACTTTACAGCTGGTAGGAAATTTTGAATTTTGCCCGGGTGGCGGCTGAAGCATACTCTTAATGTTAGTTTTGTTATTGCAGACTATAATATATACCTTAGACCGACAAAGTTCTTCATGTCAAGGATAGGTTCAAGATAATTATCAGTACCACGTTTGTCTTTGTCTTTAGCAATTGTCCGGCATTCACAGCCATGTAGAATGGGTCATGTCCATCGGTTGTACTTGAAGAAGCCCACGTGGAACGCTCACTAATAAAACAATCAGGGATGGACACATACAGTTTTTAGGACACTTGAATAGACATACAGATCACGGACTTCAAGCTGTCATGTGAAAATTGACGGTAAATGAGGCCCAGAGCAACCTACTTGGAGAACCTAAACAAATTGGTAAAGGGGAAAGATCAGGGTAATGTAGCTTTTTTAAAGAGCATCCGAGTTAAGAAATGAATGGTGAACCATGAATACCATGTCTGCCGCAAATAATATGGCACTAAGTGATGTTGATGATGCTGTACATGATCATTCATACCCATTGTGAGATCTCGTTCGTGTGATCTCGTTGTCTGATCTCGTGTGAGTGGTCTCGTTGTGTGATCTCGTTGAGTGATCTCGTTGAGTGATCTTGTTGTGTGACCTCGTGTGTGTGATCTCGTTGTGTGATCTTGTGGTGGTACCTCGTGTGCGGGATCTTGCTGTGACAACCAGTCGTGTGATCTCGCTGTGGGATCTTACTGTATGATCTCGGTGTAGGATCGTTTATCTGGTAATCTTGTATCATTGATCCTGAAGGTCAAAAATGTATTCCTTATAGATTCATGACTTTTGTATGGGTTTCCTGAGCCATGTTATGTCTGGGGATGATTTATTGTTTTGGGGGACTTTGAGAGAGAGAATAATGGAATTTGATTTTGAAAATGCAACGCGCCCTTCTTCAGTAGTCAGCTCACCGACATAGGAAAAAGAGAAAAAGACCAGAAGGTCGACACACTGCAGACAGAATAGTAATAAATATCTAAGTAGCCTATGTTTCTGTGATTTCTTTATTTATCCATTTTTTGGGGGGAAAGTGTTTTATGGCGCTCGCTACTGCATATAGTCATATGAGCGCGCGGGACACAGTAAACATTTTTTTCATTTGGTAGGAAATTCTGAATTTTTCCTGGAGTGTGTGTGTGTGTGTGTGTGTGTGTGTGTGTGTGTGTGTGTGTGTGTGTGTTTCTCTCTCACCTTCACCTGCTACCTGGATACAGGGTAGTCTGCCAAAATGAGTTCTCCAGCTGTCTCTGTTCTGGGCGATCCTCTCCATCTCAAACTAACTGTACCCCCATCTATCTACCGAGATTCACCAAAAGATCTCGTTCCCACGTCTTCCCTGCCTTCCTCTTTTCCTCATTCCTTGAGGACTTCGTTTTAGACTTTGTCTTGTAGTTTAGTTTTACAAGATCTTGATTGCTTTAGTGACAGAGAAACGATCACATTATCCTCTCTTTCGAAGCCAAGTTTAGCTCAATTTTCCAGTAATCGATAGACTGTGAGTTCGGGGGTTTAAGGCTCAGCTCAGTCCGACGTTGTGTCTTGAAAAGGGCTTAAAACGAACTTTCCCATTTGGCTCGTTCCTGTCGGAGCAGGACTTATGTCAAATCTATACATTTCGATTTTATTTTCATTAATAGGCAGTCTCGGTAAAGCAATGCAGAGACATGATAAGATGAGATAATCTTCATTGTCTAGGCACTAGCTTTTTGGTTTGGTGATTCATCACACACGCACACTCACACACACACACATACACATACACACACACACATACACACACACACACACACACACAAACACACACACA